GAATGAAGTTGTGAATCCCCTGATAGTTACAATCACATATATAAAATAATCTTACATTTATTCTACATTATCATAGTGTGCGTGCAAATTATCTGGTTTTCCAGATAATTTGGAATGGCTTTTTAGCCAATATCCGTTCAAAACCTCTATTTCTTAGGTGATGAGAAGAGTTTGAATATTTCCTTCGAGACAAGGAATAAAAAGTAAATATACTCTGGGCCAGTAACATACCTTCAGCTGCTTTTCTAGAAAACACTTAACTGGGCTCTTAAGTGGATCACACGTGTAAGCTAGCTATGCAGGAGACTGAGATGTGAGGATTGTTGTTCAAAGCCAGCCCAGGAAGGAAAGTCTGTGAAGACTTTTATCTCCAATTAACTTGCAAAGAGCTATGGATCCAGTGAAGAGCTCCAGCCTTGAGTGAAAGGCTAAGGGACAGCGCTCAGCCCTGAGTTCAAGCTCCAGTATCTGCAACAAACCAACAACCTCACCACTTTAGACTGCAAAGCCAGCAAGGTTGCAAACTAGAATGCCTAAAACCAGCAGGGTTTGAAATCGCCACAGACTCTTCACTAAAGCTGAAATGCAACTGATGGGTGACAAAAATGGGATAAAAAGCTGAGGATCCCTGTCTTCGCTTTGTGTCTGTCCTGTTGCTGTCTCAGCCTTTGCAGATACAAAACTTTTGTATAATCATTCCAAGGTCCCATGGCTGAGATTGTTTCTAGGACGAATAAGACTTCTCCTTAACATGAACTGCCCATTGAGCTTCTGATGCTATCTATGGTTTACCCTACAGGCTTCCGAACAATGGTTGAGAAATTTATTTTAAAAGCAAATTAACATCAATATATAAAGTGGAATCACATTGTATATATACCCTTTCACTAATCGATGGGCACTGGGGTTGATTTCCATTGTTTGGCTTTGAAATGCTTTCATTGGACATGTTTTCATTTCTCTTGAATACAGAACTGGGACTGAATTTGCTGAATTATATGATAACTCTATTGTAAGCTATCTAGAGCCTGCTCTTGATATACGTACTCTGTCAGTTTATATAAAGGTTTATATGCTAAGTGCTGGCCATATTTAATGAGAAAAAATATTTCCTGATGAAATCTGACTGTATTTTATGTGACACAAGAGCTAGATGTGTCCATTGTATCATAGACTTGTACAAATCGATGAGCTTGCTTTTCTTGTTGTAATTAATTTGTTCTGAATTACTGCCTGGTAAGATGATCATAAATATTGATTATGTACTGTATCTCTCAGGATGCTGGCAGGATGAATTTTGAATGTTTTCACTATCATGAGATGGTAGAGGTGGGGTTATGCCAACATGCCGGGGCCCCTGGGTTTGGTTTCTAGCAAACAGCACCCCTTCTTCCACACGCAGACCGTTCATGCACCAAAGATAAGTTTAACAGCCTTTAAAAAGAGCTAAAGAAATCCTTATCTCCCAATATAATTTACCAACTTTCAAACAAAAATCTCTGGGATTTTCCAATGACTAATGGGTCTTTTCATCTGCATCCAGAAATGATCAAATGGAAAAACATTCCAAACTTTAGCTGCTTGGAAGGGACTTTTTTTTTTATATGAAAAGTGAATAACTTGGGCTGAAGTCTACCACACAAAATAGTTCAGAAGTGGAAGAGCTTTCACACTGGCTTTTATTTTACTGATAGAAATTGGTTCACCCTCTCCTTGCCTGAATACAAACACATTCCAAATGCAAGCTGTATTTAAGCGGGAAATATGCTCTCAGTAGTGGTATGTTCCTGAAACAGAAGACAGCAACTGGTTTTGGTTCATGCTATTTTCAGTTGGAATTATTTTTAAACTATGGATACATATGATATGATATGATAGGGTTACTATGCATAGTAATATTGTAATAAAATTATATTTTCACCTTAAGTTATTAAGAAAGCAATTCAGTATTAGGAAACAAATATCTCCATGGAAAGGTCAATGACATAGGAAATGGAAACAGAAGATCAGAACCTCAGAATTAAGAACTTACTCTGACCAGACATAGGTTGTTCTCTTAAGGAATTGTTACAAATTGATACCACACATAATGTGCTCATGCAGCATACATGTATTCATACCATCTCAGCAGACTTCTGAGCTTAGAGCTTATGATGACAAAGAAGCTCCTTTTAGGTGATATGGACTAGTGCTCAAAATATCTTGTGTATGTGTATTTGTGTGTGTGTGTGTAATGACATGCCATTATAATGCAGTCCATAGTTTCCATTAAGTGTCCTTTTGTTGTTGTTGGTGGTGGTTGTGGGGCTAGAACTCAGGGCTTGGGCGCTGTCCCTGAGCTCTTTCATTCAAGACTAGTGCTCTACCACTCTGAGCCACGCTCGACTTCCTGTTTCTGGTAGTTAGTTGGAGATAAAGAGTCTGACAGACTTTTCTGAACTACCCCCCCTCTGATGTCAGCCTCCTGAGTAGCTAGGATGACAGGTGTGAGCCCCTGGAGCCCAGGTTAAGTTGTAATTTTGAATGGTGTGCATTCCATGTGCTTGAGCAGACATATGCCAACATACTTCCATGATTATAGGATTATACAGAGCAGTGTCACCAAGAGACGGTCCTGATATTAGTAAAGTACCTCCATCAGCTGCCAGTAACTCTTCCCCTTACCAAAAAACAACAAAACAAAAAAAAACCCCACAGAAGTATAACAGATAAAACTAGATTGTGAAGACACAGATGGCTTGGATAAAGTCTTAGTAAGAGTTTGCTGAGAAGAACTTCCTTGACTGGAGTGGTGTTTGGCGGAAGTTAAGACCTGTGGCTGCATCTGAACTTGAACTTAATATGAGGTGATGGGGGGGGGGACAGCTTTAAGATACAAGGCACCAGTAAGGTAGAGAACTAAGTGAGACTTGTACACACTGATAGCTTGTGTTTGTGTGTGGGGGGAAGGGAGATAAGAGGTGTTTTTTTTCTTCCTGTATGGAGTTTGAACTCAGGACCTAAGTGCTCGCTCAGCTGGTCCTCTGCCACTTAAGCCCAGCTTTTTGCTGGATGTTTTGGAAGCAAGAACCTTACCAACTTTTTCTCCCCAGGCTGGCTTCAAATCATGATCCTCTGAGTCTCAGGGTCCCGAGTGGTTAAAATGACAGGCATGAATCACTGGTGCTCTGGGAATCATTTTTAAATGTTATCTGTCATAGGACGGGGGGGGGGCATCTATTAGAAAACGCTTTACGGTTCACAGGAAGGGTGAGCCCGGGCAGATGGGATCTGGCTGGGGGGAACCGACCTGGCAGGGCATTTCCGCCGCGCTGAGGCTGAGGCCCTCATTGGTGGGAAGGTGATCGCGCGGGTAATTACGTCCAAGGCCTGGGCTCAACAATCTCTCGGTCTCGGGGCTCCGCACTAGGGACACACCTGTCAGGTAAATGGCACGACCAGCCGCCACGCCGCACCCAGGAGGCTACGGCCCCGCGCTCCGGAGGTCGAGCGTCTTCCACTTCTCCCAGGGTTAGGCCGAGATCGAGCGCGCCTGGAGAGGGTCGGGTGTCTGTCTGTCTGTCTGCCAGGCAGCCCCGTTTCCTGTGTGTGACAGGTGCAGGGTGGAGGTGCCGCCCATCCCCGACCCCGCCGACACCGCGCCATTTCCTACGGGAAGGAGGAAAGCCGCGCCCGCGTCCCCCCCGGCCGGGTACGGCCGGCTCCGCGAAGGGTCCGCACGGACCGCAGCCCGCAGCCTC